TGACTGGTGAGGCCTTAGATAATCAAATTTCTGTTCTGGTTTCTGGAGCCATTCAGCCTGGAGTCTTTGAGCTCACAGCCAGCAGTTTCCATCCTACACAGTACCTTACACATTGTAATGAAAACCTTCTCTTTCATTTAAGCAACAGTTTTAGAGGTCCTATGGCCTTTATTTTTGTTGTTCATTTGTGGTTTTTTTTTTTTGTTTTTTTTTTTTAGAGAGATTTTTGCTATATTTTTGTATGTGTATGCCTGCCAGAGATACAGGGAAAGTGAGAAATTACCTGCTAGGAGGGATGGCCACACCACAATCCCTTCTCCATTTTCCTCAGGATTTTGGGCACACACATGCATGCGCCCAGTTTGAGTTTCAAGCTGCCAGGTTCAGAACTCAAACCATGGCCAGCCATGTGTGTGTCTAGTGCCTTAACCACCATGCCACTGGCTGGCACCAAGAAATACATTTTAAAAAAACTAATATGAAATTTTACTGTTTCATGAGAGCTTTTATTTTATAAAAATTATACATTCTGTTTCATAAATTGCCCGATCTAAGGCATTCTGTTATGGCAGCCCAGACAGACTAAAATAGCGTGCTTCATCTCCTGGTTGCTATGTGGGGCGATGGAGAGTAAACCTGGCTAAGGGAGACCAGGTCTCTGCATAGGCTGACTTTCTTGTGTTCCTCTTCCTAGGTCAAATCACCCCTATGCCTTGAGCCTGGCCATTCACCTTTGACCCACACTTCCAGAGTATTGCCTGTTCATAGAATTCCCTCCAGGGTCAGCTGGTGGTATCGTGGTTAGGTGCTGGGCCTCCATGTGGTCGACTGTGGTTAAGTTCAAGGTCTGGTGGCTTGAAACACACTGGGCATGTGCACATGCCTGTCCCAAATCCCAGGAAAATAGAGGAGAAGGGATTGTGGTGTGGCCATCTCCCCAGGAGGTGCTCTTCCTCTTCCTCTCACTGTCTCTCTCTCTAGTGAGTGCCCAATGGGGTGGGGAGGGAACAACTCCCCTCACTAGCTGAATTATTACTCCTAGGCCTAGCTCAAATGTTGCTTCTTCCTTGTAGCCTTCCAGAACCTCTGAGGCAGAATTAATTCTCTTTTCTCTGTACCACTGAGCACTTGGAGCCATCATGGCAGTTGACACTGTTCTGCCTCAGAGTTGGCTATTTGCTTACATACCTCATCATCAGGAGCTGGGCCTCCTCCGTGCTCCCCTGCCTGTCTAGGAGCCTGTCCGAGCCCCTTCCACACAGGAGCCATGCAACACATACTGGGTACAATTAAATTCACCCTGTGAGTAGGGAGGGAGACATTGACCTTTTCCCTAATTCCCAGCTTCCACATGCAAAAACGTGGACATGAGCTCTTCTTCTTCACCATGTCTCCTAAATAAAAATGAAAATGCCAACGTAGCCGTTCTCCTACAAACCCCAATTCTCCAGTTCAGGGCACGCCAGCCTTTCCTGCCCCAGCACATACTTAGGGTCACAGTTAGGAAGAAGCATAATTGATGCTTCCAAAGTCTTCGAGCTTGAAAAACCGTGCTTACACAGTTACGTGAAGTCAAGCCAGTGTGCTGGCATTGCTTGGGGCTAACATCTGGGCCAGGAAACAGCAGCTCTCTGTTGCGTGTTTCACTCACCTTGGTTTGATCTCATCAAGGAAGAATCTCGCCTTGGAGTTGGTCCTTTGTGTGTGAAGGGGTCACTGTAAATAAGCATCAGGGAAATAGGCTCTTACGTGAGTTTTATTTCCTCCGGAGATATGAATATGAAGAGAAGTGGATTTGGGTTTTAGGATTTACCAGAAAATTCTCTGTGCAAGTAGGAGTTCTATAAGTTAAAGGGTGCTTGTCATGTGTCCCAGTTTCTCTGTCAAGACCCCAAGGACAGGGACCAGCAGTTCGTGTAATGGCTATGTCGCTGGACTCCCACCTAGTCGACCGCGGTTCGCGTCCCGGACCCGGTGGCTTAAAACTCACGCCAGGCGCGTGTGCGTGCGTGCCCAAGATCCCGAGAGGAGAATGGAGGCGAAGGGATTGCGGTGTGGCCATCCCCCCTGGTTGGTGATTTCTCGCTTTCTGTCTCTATGTCTCTCTCTGTCTGTCTGGTGAGCGCACGTGCCTTATAGCAAAAACCTCTAAAAAAAAAAAGACCCCAAGGACATAGGCTAAAGATTTAGACAATACAATACCAGAAAGAGCAGCAAACATGGCCAGAAGGCCTGGCTGGACGCACAGCTCGGGGCAGTGGACTCATCATCTGCACAGGTTATGCTGGTCCCTCCCTCCCACAGCCTGAGTTGACTTTATACCCATCTGCTAGACGTCAGCTGACCTATGAACACCAAAGTCACTTTTCCTTTTTATTTATTTAATCCCATTTATTATTATTATTATTATTATTTGACCAAACAGAGACAGAGACAAAAAAGGAAAATGAGAAAGCAAGCTGCCAGGTACAGGATTCGAACTTGGCCATGTGGGAATCCAGCGCCTTTACCCACCAGGCCACCTGCCAGCTCCCTCAAGGTCACTTTTCTAATTGTGGTGCTCCACACACATGTTCTGACCTGATTCTTGTTGTGACTAACCCTTCATCTGTCACACAGTCTGGGTCATGCACAGCTTGCTCTTCTGCCTTGCCCCCCACGTTGGTGCGTGGCAGGCGCCGTCCCACTTGGCATCGACAATCCCTTTGCCCAACCTGCTTTGTAGCTTTGAGCTGAGCTGGTGGTCACTGAGCTCCACCTCAGGACTGAGCTAAGGCCGAGATCTAGAGGGCTGGGGTGCTCCATCTTTACAATGTGCACA